AAACACATGAACACTGGAAATATCTGAACAGGAAAACCATACGAAAGTGTTACACTCCTGGCAGTCAGCATACAATCCAATTCCACCAATAACGAGATGACACTTTGTTTGAGGGTCAAGCAGAATCTGTTTTACTGGGGGTAACTGCCCGGCTTTTATGCAGGTCTCCCACCTGGTGGACACTCCCCTAGGGGACCAAATGGGAAACTGGGAAACATATTGGCTCTTAGCCAATCACATACATACACCTTTAAACCCTCCCACAATTACATCACAATCCCTCCTCTCTGTCGTGGAGATAATTGAGAAGTAATCCAATTATCTCCAAAGACAGAGGCAAAACTCCATTAACCACATGGCAGTAACAATACAGTAAAAGACATAAAATTACATACAGTCACATTTATTACATAAAACATATACATTCTACATATCCCCAGATAGCTTAGATCTGAGCGCACATTACTACCGAATGGCGCTCAGATCACATACATACAGTTCAATCGCCATGCAGCCAAAGTCTTTCCCATAGTCTTTCGTTATACGAATAGGCTCCATGGCTTAGCTATCTGGGGGATGCTGTTCATCCGGCAAAACTACCGAATGAACAGTCATTTGGTTCTGCTTACCGAATAGGAAGGTAAGGAGGCTGGTTGCTCAGCGGTGTTCGCGCCAATAAGTGTCCGTTTTCATTTCCATAGTTTGGGCTCAGGCCGTTTGGGAGGTAAAATGGCCGCTGCCACGTGTTCGGCAGACGAACAAAGGCCACCCAGCGTTCATCAATTAAGCTGCGGTTAACCGCAGCTTCTGGGCGGTCAATGGACGGCACACTCCAGCTCCCAGGTGGTCCATCGTTCGGTAGTTTGTTCGGTAGATGGAATCTACTGAACACCCTGGCAGAAAGGCACGAATAAACCTTTCAGCAGGGAAAATAACAGCTCTGAACTGCTAAAGGGAGCAGGCGAGCAACCAGGCTTCTCCAGTGTACAGTGCCGAGGTTGGTTCCACCACATTTCTCCCCTTTTCCAATCAGTCAGTGCCCTTGTTAGTCCAGCAGCCCACCCACAAAACTGAAGCAGCAGTACAGCCCACCCCCAATAAATGGTTACTACACCCGGGTAGAGGAGAAGCTTGTCCATGTCCAGGTGCCTCACCATGGTTGTGCTGGGGACCGGTAGGCTGCCTTGGTGGGTTGCTGAGTGGGCAGAGACCAGCGGCACTCTGCCCTGGTGTCAGTACTACCACGGGAGTAGTCTGGTTGGAGCCTGGTGGCTGGAGGGGGAGACCGACTGTCTCCCCTTTGGATACACAGCTCTGCTGCCGGAGGGGGAGACTGACTGTCTCCCCTTTGGCTAAAGCGCTAGGTCGCTGGGGGGTAGTATCGACCGTCCCTACCCCCTGTGCTGTAAGTGCAGAGACCCATCTGCACAGTTGTGGGGCTTTCGGTCTCCCCTGGGTATGTCAAGCTGCCGCTAGGGAGAGGTGGTAACCAGCTCCTC